GTGTATGTGCACTGTAAAAATAGCTGAAGAGAGATCAAGTACTCTTTGGCTCTCGCTCTTACTCTCTCGTAAGGAGAGGAAACAGCGACGTCACCGTTCACGCAGTCAATTTTTTCTTTCTTTTCTTTTTATGCCACAGCCGTGCTTCTTCTTCTTCACGTCTTTTGGCTATCTGTTTTGTGGTTAATCTTTTGTTTTGAATATACTTTATCTACGTCTGTTCTTTGCCTTTGTGTTGGTGAGTGAGATGATCTTCTCTTCTTTTTCCCAGCTCTCTTTTTGTTCTTTCTTTAGTTTTTGTTTTTTTCGTACACGTAATTCACGTAGATATCGAAGTCACAGCTGCTTTTTGTTTTGATACGTGAAATCCATAATCAACCTGCTATCGCAGTTAAAAAACGAGAAAACAAAACCCGTTTTGGTGACGAACAAATAACTCGAAAATTATGCGAATATCTGGGTGTTAAATGTGTAAAATCCCCGCCTGAAAAAGTAGCAAAGTTTTCCATTACACTTCGAATTCGCTTTTTTTTGTTTTAGTTTGCGAACATGACTAATTGCTGCTTTAATTGTTCAGCAAGCTGCTTATTTCATTTGTAAATTTTCAAGTGCTCAACTTTTGTTTTTATCGCATTTGTTTTTCGAAAGATCTAGATTACGTTTCGCGCGAGTCAAAAGATAACTGTCTTACTTTTAAAGGTGCTCAGATTCCAAACCAGAATATAATGCAACACAAATATTGCCATTTTATTTACTGGGAGTTTTGCTGTGTTTGCCTTGTTTTTGTTGCCAGGCACTCGCCAAATTTAGTTTCACTCGATTACTGGAAAGCTTATCAGTGGCTGAGTTCACTATAGATTGGCAAAGAGGGGAAATCGGGAACTTTGGGGCGAAAGAAACAAAGGCAGGCCTCCTTTTTGTTTAGTATTGGCGGTGCTGCTCCCATTTAAATGCCAGCAAAATGCTAGGGAAAAATAACAAACAGCTCCAATTTCGCCTCGTTTCGCATTGCTTCCTACTTCATTTGCAAATTGTGAATTCAGTGATTGCAACTCTCTTGGCAGTCGGCCAAACAATTTGTGTTTACTTACCGTGTTACCCAAACGATTTGCTACTCTAATTTAAGACTAAGGAAATTTTTCAAACGCAATTTAAAAAAAATCCAGGCTAGGTAAATAATATGTTTTTGTTTTCCGACATATTTTAACAATGTACATTCCAAATTTATGTGTTTTATATTTTGGGTTTAAGCTAACTAAAGCTAAACTCTGCTCAGGTTTCGAGAATTCGAATGTTATCTCTAGACTACTTGCAATCAAATCAAAGTTTCCCATATATTTGTGTATAAAGTTATAAAGTTAACATACTACAGTTTTTACCAATATCAATAAGGAACTCAAAACAAACTTAAATTCAATTCTAAAGTTATAATTTCATTTGTATTATTCCTTAAATAGAATGGTTTTCCTATTTAGATAATAGGTAAAATAAGAAAACTATAGGTAATTTTCTATTTCCCAATTTATACGTTAAAAAATGTATTTCATACATAAATAAATAAAAAATGTTATGGACTTCAATATAGATTTAATCAAAATGGAATTGGGAACAGAGCCCAATGAACTTTGCTGCTGAGAGTCTCGATCGCTGAAATATCAAAAAGCAAAAAACTTTTGTTAGAATGTAAATGAAATTGAGTTAATCAATGTTTGTTTAGCTGGCAATTCACACTTGTTTTTTTTTTTTTTGTGTGCGCCTGTCTGGTGTCGCAGAGTTGCCAAATTCAACGAATTGGTGTTACAAGTGAGGCGCCTTTTTCCTTTGTAAGCTAAAATGCTGAAATTGATACACACAGTGTGAAAAGTGTTGTATCTTTTGTTTAAGTTTCGTTCCGATAGCTGAGGGTTGTGCTCTTTGCTTGATTGCCTTTGTCTGGAAGAACAGCTGACAGCTGATTTGAATGTTTTCCACTCATTTGTTTTGATTTGATTTGACTTTGCAGTCGCTTGCTAATCAAATTTGCTTTGGGCAACGCGCCGAGTTTCTCCGGACAAAGTATCTCGGAATTCCTCCGGCGCAATTGCAGCTGTTTGGGTTTCAGTCAACAGCCCTCTCAGCTCCCAGTTCCGTTCTCTGTCTGCGTTATTCGCTGTCGTTGACCCAGATTCAGTTCACCTTATGTACATTGTATGCAAACACATACCCCACACTAATGTGGAGCAATCGGGGAGTGAGGAAGATAGTTTTACGGCGTATATACTTGTTTCTGGCTCTGGTTTCCCCAAAGTTTTCCTTGCCCATATTTTGCTCAGTTTTTTCCGCTGGCTGATAAGGCCGTTGCTTTTCGCTGACTCAGCAGCGATCTTTGCCTGATCTTCAGTGCCAAGCAATCAGTTTCAATTAATTGCCTGATTAGCTATATACTTGAAGCCCCCGTAGATTGTGTTCCGTGTTTCAATCAATTTTCGCGACTTTCGCTTGACATTTTCCCCGGACATTAACGGATGGCGGGGTAAAAACACTAATTTATTTAAAGGCTCTTGCTATAAATAACGCTGTCGAAATAGCCGCCTTAGCTCTTGGAAGCAGCGATAAACTTCTCCGTATTGTTTTTGCGGCGTAGACAAGACAACGGAGTGAATCACCTCGAGTTAACGAACCTCATCACCGAAACACTTGATTCCGTCAAAGCGGTTAAGTGCCTTTAGTGGTTCCCCGAACGAATATCTTGGTAGTTGCTGGGTATCTAACCTCTATCTGTATCTACCTCGGTGATTAACAAATGCCGCCGTCTGGTCTCGATCAGGTAACAATTACAGCAGCCAGCAGCTGGCAAATATGCATTTGGCTATCTTTATGACGTCTGCAGTTCCCTGTTTGCATTACCGATTAGAGAGCCAGGCAGTGGGTGATAAATAAAGGCAGAAATAGATGTGTCTACAACGCAATTCGCGAATCGTGCCACTTCTTGGCAGCTTCGATTATAATTATAATTTGCCAGTCGTCTAATTGGAGAACCTTTGATACCAGCCGCCCTATCAGCTCCGGAGATTCCCGTTGTCTCTGTTCACGTGCCAATCGCTTGACTAGTTCCAGTCGAAACCCCTGCTCCTCACCATTACCCCACTGTCCCCAAAGTGTTCCCCATTCCACATCCCACTTTCCGATTTCCAATTGTTTTCAATTAACAGCACGCTTCGTTAAATGTTTTCTAATATAGCGCATGGTTCACAGGCTGATTTGATTACTCTATGCCATATTCTATTATATATGCCATTGCTGATTGTTGACTGTTGATGGGGAGATCCAGTGGATCAGTCAGCTACCGAGTGAATGATCTTCTAAAGCGCAATCGAAATTTGATAGGTCGCCAAATGTTATTGATCTTCCCACATCAGCTGAGCTTTGTCTAGTGGTTATTGATCCTAAAAGGTGCATTGGAATTCAAAACAAAGATACGCAATATGATTGCATTCTTAGTCGCAAATTGTAGCATTTTAACCACTAGAACAGAATCGCCTATGAGATATAAAGATCGAATTGAATCTAAATATTATGAAATATCTTAATGATCATCAGAATCACAGGCGGAACACGATTTGCATTCTGTGTAGTCGCGTGTCGAGTGTTCCGTAGCGGAAATGACATTGAACCCCCGGCCTGAGTTTCGAATGCACTTGCTCCGAAACGATATGATCAGATGGGATCCGAGAATGAGAACCGGTTTCATGTCGGTTGATTGAACGGTCAGGGCATGATTCAGGCCATTAAGCGAGCATGTGTGGCAGGTTAAGGCGATCGCTTATTTAACCCAATTTTCAATTAAATTAATCGCATTTTCCCGCTCGTCATCTCTCTCGTTGCAGACTGAACAAAGCAGCAGCAGCAGCAGCCGGATAAACGGATTTCCCAAGCAGCGCGTCCAGCGGGAACAGCTCCGGGGAAAATAAAAGCGGCCAGCAATCGTTAAACTGTTTCACGCGGCGGGGAATGGTATATTTCTTGGGGGATTGGGGCATGGGAGATTCTGACTTGTCGTCATATCAGCAACATGTACCAAATATACAGCAGCCACAACGCATCCATGGACATGATCTACTCTTGCAACAACAACAGCAGCAGCAGCTCCCACAGCAGCAGCAGCAGCAACATCAACGCCAGCAGCAGCAACAGCAGCAGCAACTTGTGGCCCAAATCTCCAGTAGCCTAAGCCAGCTGCAGTCGCCGCTGCAGTTGCAGTTTGCCAGTGGTTCCAGCTTCCTGCAGCAGGGCACTACTCCCTCGCCATCCCAGCAGCAACATGTTGGTCCTGTCAGTAGCAGCAGCAGCAGCAGCCTCGTAACTGCCAATCTCCAGCAGCTGTCGGTGAGCAACAGCAACTCCAGCAGCAGCAGCAGCAACAACAACACCACCACCAGCGGCTGCAACACTCCCACCAAACCGCAACAGCAGCAAAAACTACTGCTCCCAGAAGCAGCTGCTCCTGCTGTCGCCGCTGTCGGCAAGCCATCCAAGAACCCTCAGCTAAGCAAGGATCTCCTGGACAATGAGGATGAGGTGGCACTGCACCCGCTCTCCAACCAGGTGAGTGATACTGAATTATAAACTATATTAGAGTATTATGTTTGAGTGCCAGTTGTTACTAGTGGGATCAAATGTTTGGGAAACTGTTTATCCTTTATTCAAAATTGGGATTTTCGAAGTTTTATCGTAGTATTAAGTTGTAATTAATGAACTAACATATCTCAAGTTTTAAAGAATTTTTGAGCTTGGGATATTCTTTGGGAATTGAATTCAATAAGAGCTTTCAAATATTAAAACTAGATATGTAGGAGTGGTTTAAGTTGGAAGAATTCCCGATAATAGTGAGAGATTATTGAAAGCTGTTTTAAATCGGCATCATTTGTACTGAAACTGGAGGATTATTAAACCTAACTTTACTAAATCCTGCAAATCACTAGAATATATACCCTTGCCAGCTATTTAAGAGCAAATCAATAGAACACAGTTTAGCTATAATGAAGAGTAGTTAGGTACTTTGGGCTACATCTTTTTGATCTCGATGAGCAGGGCGCTGTACAGCGACTGACAGAACTCCTCCAGGCCCGCGTACGTGTTCTTCTCGATAAAGGCCTTGACCACCGCCCACACGGACTTGAGGAACTTCACCTGGCCAAAGACGAGGACGTCCGTGTACTCCTCCACGGTGGCCCTGAGGCAGAAGTGCAACAGAACCACAAAGGCGTCCGCGTAGGGGATCTCGGCGTTGACGCTGTACACATCGATGGAGTACAGCTGGCCGGGTTGGCTGCACTCGCGCATGACCTGCGTCTCGGTGACCTTGACGGTCTTGGGGCCGACGTTCGATTGAAGGGCCACGGTCACCGAGACCTTGCGTTCGTTCTGGCCGGCGGAGTTGCGCGCCCAGCCGCCCATCCGCAGATCGGTGGACTTGCGTCGCTCGTGAAAGCTCTGCAGGAACGGCGAGGCGGAGAAGAGGATGTTGAACAGAGCGTCGACCCGCACCATCAGTCGCTCCTGCAGCAGCTTGCGGCCCTCGTGCGTCGCACTGCAGCGGGCGGTCAGCTCCTCAGGCTTCCTTTGCCCTATCATGTGTGGGGCCGTTTTAAAATTGACAATGTTCGAGGGTCCCGATGGGTCGATTGTGTTGCGGTCGATCTTGGCCTTTTTACCGCGCTTACCGGTTGCTGACCGAATTGTATCCCTGCTGTTGAGGGCCGTGTTTCCCACCGCAAGGTACCGCGTATTCCGCTTGCGATTCGACCGGCCTCGGCCAATGTCCGTCTGGGTGTAAGTCGACTGCCTCGGTGCTGTGACCTGCGGTGGCTTCTTCTTCCCGCCCAGGCTCACGTCGGCCTTGGAGCGCCTTTCGTCCTTGCCGACTGTAGAGTTTCGCTTGCTGCCCCAGAAAAGACGATGCTTGCTGCTGTCAGCCGATGCCGGATCCTGGAAATCGTTTGCACGACTCCTGTTTGTCGACTGCTGTGCGTTCCGGCGATTGTTGCTGGTGCTCGGGCTAGGCGGTTTATCCATCACCAATATTTTTCCCATTCGATGCTTCAGCTGGGCCTTGATCGACTTCATATTCTACCCAAGATTCATGGTCATTTTCAGTTAAAAAGTTGTCAATGACATCATAAAAACGAAACACTCGAAATTTGTCAATAAGGTCAAGGAATTGAATGATGTCCAGGTCTAGTTTCTCATGGCTGTCTAGTTTGGTTTGCTCGGAAGACTTTCGGTGAGAAAGCTCGATAAGCCTGGCATTTTGATTAGATTCATGAAATGACGTAGGGGAAACGATAAGATATAGCAATCAGGATTATAGCCACGCTCCATTCAGCAAGCACAGACAGAAACTAGTTAGCTTGTGTTTTTGATAAATAAAAAACATAATAAACATAAATAACAAGAATGGAAAATGTATAAACAAAGCAAAACAAAAATGTTTTATTTTTGAAGATTTAAAAAGCACTTGCTTACGATAACGCTTTAATATATACACTTCAGATTGCAGAAGGTGATTAAAGATTAAAGGTTTCACATAGAAATATATGTAGGAAGGCAGGAAATAACTCAATTAACTTGCGATAGTAAATTTGACTTTATCTGCCTTTTAACAGGTCGGAGGACACACTCGCCTTTTGCTGCTCAACCAGTCGACGGTGATCAAGCCGTTGAACCTGCGTGAATTGGACTTCTACCAGAACATTCCGCAGGACATACTGAAGTTTGTGCCCAAGTACAAAGGTAAGATACCGACTGTTTCACCAACCGCATCAAAAACTGATCACACGTTTGAATACCAATTATCGATTCTGTCAAAGCGCTTCATTTGCTCTTTCGTTTCGAATTAACTAATCCATACAATCAAACAAAAGAAAATATATATATATAATACATACTGAATCGCGCCAAGCATTTGTCATGCGTCTTGAGTTCTGAAATCGCCAATTTTTATTGAATCGAACTTTTGTTTTTGTACTAACTCGCAACAAACAAAAATGATAAAGCCAAACAACCAACCAATTTGCGTTTGCTCCTCTTGTATCGTCCCTAGATAAAAGCGAATCGCATTCGAAATATCATTTTATTTTTAGTATTTTTTTTCTCTACAACTATACATCTAAAAATTTTGTGATATACTTAGTCCGTAAGTTGATTATTGAAAATGGAAATAAAACCAATCACAAAAACAAAAGCAAAAAAAAAAAAAAAAAAAAAAAAATAAGAAAAGAAAAGAAAACTGACGTTTAAAGACTGAACCATATACAATAATATGTAGCTAACCTATAGCTTTAACGATTTGTAATACAAAAGCGAAGATCAAAAATAAAAGAACCAAAAAAGTTATAGCCGCCACATGCCACAGAACATTCTCTGAATCGACGACGCCTGGGACTAGTCACTAGTCCGGGTCGCCACCGCCCGAACCAGAGACCTTTTCCGATTAAACCCCCTTAGTTAGTATTACAGACATCAATGGGTAAGTCGCAAACCAAAACCACCAAATAAAAAAAAAAAAAAAAAAAAAAAAAAAAAAAACCAAATACCAAGCAAACTCCAACTCAAAAGTAAAGTAAAGTAATCGTTAATAAAAATCCCCTCCATTACGATTGTACAGTTTTTGCTGGCAAAAATTGTACAATCTTTGAAATGGAAATGGAATAGTTTAAACCCATGCACTCCCTCGATTCGGAGCATGTACATATATAGAGATTATGATTGCCCGGATCGGGGGGCGTGTCCCGCCACTACATGTACGTCTATGCTCGTATTATCCAAAGGTTCGAGGTGCCTGCCTGACAGACCCGCTCGAGATCTGCCGCCGAACCAAGCAAACCTCACCGAACCGAACTGAAATGATCCGTACCGGAGTCCGGAAAGAGTCCTCCCCTGTCGGGATCGGGATCGGGATTGGGATCGGGATCGGGAAAGCCTAATGCCGATAAAGTGTAAAGAATCATTTTTTTTTCCGCAATGCAACAAAGAAAATCGAGTTTTATTTTATGTGTTTGTTCAGAACGCACATCGTGCCGCCCTCCTTCCCTCAAACGTTGTGTTGTTGTGTAGTCGTCGTCGCCGTCTCCGTCTCCGTCTCCACTCCGCTCGTCTCATCTCGATCCCTAGCGATCCTAAGCGATCGGGTCCGCCCTGCTCTGTCGGTTAGAAAGAATGCAGGCGAGCCAAATCGAATGGGTTTGTATGATTCAAAACACATCTATCTATCTAATTTACATATGTTAATTACCAATATACCATACAAATACGATACGTTACGATACGATACGATTACACGTACACGTATAATAGTTAAGATTTAGTGTGTTAAGTCAAGGAAAATCGAAGCCAGTTTTTTTGTATCCTACATTTTCCACTTTCTTTTGCACTTGTTTCTCCGTCGGATCGCTAAGTCTACTTCTATCTGTTTTGCACCAACTTAGCTTAGGATTAGGCCTAGTTACTATTTCCATTTAACCGCATAACATTTGGAAGCCATCTGATCCGTCTGATGTTGAAAATGCATGAAGCACTTGTCGATCGAACTCATTGCACTAAAAAAAACTGTTAGAAACTCTGCTCACTAGATTAAATGTTTGATCTCCTGAGCAGGGTTGCATTTTCATCATCGCTGAGAGTAATCGTGTTTGTCTGTCCTCAACCATTTCGTGTGTCTGCTAACAAAGTCTTAGGAACCGTTGCCTCAGCCTCCATTTGCCACATCTTAATAACCCTGCCCCCCCAACCCCAACCCAAACCCATTTCCCGTGTCGATTCGATGCTAAACTACAAAACCTACAACCAGATGAGAAGAAACCTACAACCAGTCGCAGTTTAGTAATCCCTTTTCCCGGCTCGTCTCTGTGTCCATTCCAGGCGTCATGCAGGCCACCACCATGGGCGGAGCCAAGCTGGACAAGCGCTACTCGCCCAGTTTCCGCGATGAGGCAGCCGCCGTTCCCGTCCGCAAGATGAGTGCCTCCAAGAGGAAGCGGGATGAGGTGCTGAGGTGGGTACTCCTTCAGCAATCAAACACAGAGCGTTGATTAATTGCATATTCCGTTGCAGAATGAAGGTGCACAAGAACGGTCAGGCAGCCGAGGTGATCAAGAGCATCTCCCAACTGGACAACACAAACAAGCAATGTAGGTATTAAGCTTATTTTAGATTGTTGTTCATTCAGTGAAACACAAATCGATGGAGAACCACCTATTTCTCTGGTTTCCTCCCCTCATTTAGGTGTTTATTTTTCCATGAAAATATTGTTAGCAATATAATTTATTATCTTTAAAGAAGATATTTCTATTTCAAACGCGCACAAGCCCAAATTGTCTTTCTGAAAAAAAAATATGTATAAATAAATCTTGAGATGAAATTAAATTCAAATTGTCAATCATTATTTAAGAAAAACAATGTGCATGTGGATTTAACAAACCCCATTTTAAATATAGTGATTGATTCACAAGCACATGGTTTGTTTTAATTTTTTTAAATATGTAGCTAATAAAATATCTTAAACTCTAAAAGATATTTCAATTTTACAAGCAATAAACTTACATTCCATACACTTTCCTTGCAGACTTCCTTATGCTCGAGAACATCACCTCGCAGTTCCGGAACCCCTGCATCCTGGACCTGAAGATGGGCACTCGCCAGCATGGAGACGACGCCTCGGCGGAGAAGCGTTCCAAGCAGATGGCCAAGTGCGCGGCCAGCACGTCCGGATCTCTCGGCGTTCGGCTATGCGGAATGCAGACCTATCTGGCCGATCTGGAGCAGTATGCCAAGCGGGACAAGTACTGGGGCCGCGAGCTGAACGAGGGCGGATTCAAGACGGCCTTGCATGACTTCTTCCACAATGGCTACCGCCTGCGCATTCGCGTCATCCGCAAAATTCTGCAGCGCCTGCTGCAGTTGCGCCGGGTGATTGAGAAGCAGTCAAGCTATAGGTTCTACTCCTGGTGAGTAACAAAAGCACTTAAGTTGTGCCTCCATTTCGACACGGTTCTAATACAAGTTATCCCCAATTTCCAGCTCATTGCTTATTGTGTATGAGGGTTTCGAGGAAAACCCGATGGCTCATCCGCCCTCGATGGGCGTGGATGAGTGGCCGGAGGCACCCAGGTCGGCCACCGTGCCCGGCACCGTCTTCGACTACCATCCGGAGAACAGCATAGACGAGGACGATCTGGAGGATGAGGACGAGGCGGGACACGAGGCTGGCGATGAGCTGGAGGCGCACGACACCGACGAGGATCTGCATCTGGTGGCGGCCGACAGTGGCAACGCCTCGGCCACCAACAGCAGCACCGGTGGCGATGCCTGCAACTACGATGCAGATGCCTCCAACGATTCCAGCTCATTGCTCAACCTGGCCACCAGACGGCACCTGCACAAGCGTGGCTTCGCCGAGGCAGCGGCGCGGGGTGTGAAGCAGACGGCAGCCAACAACACCAACACCACCACCACCACCGACGAGGAGGAGGAGGAAGACCACCCAGCCGCCATGCCACCGCCCCGCAGTTGTGGTGTGATGGCCGCCAAGGCGGCAGCTGCTGCGGCTGCAGCTGGACTGGCCGGAAAGGGCCAGGGCGCATTCATTCCAATCTCCGAAGAGACAGTATTCCTGGACCCAGAGCCCGCGCTGCCCAGCGTGACGACCTCATCGCCACATTCCGGTGACTCGTGGATGAACTACAGCAGCAACAGCAGCGACGACTTCTCCGGCTTGTCGGAGCAGATCAAGGCTGTGGCCAGTGGGCGTCAGACATGTAAGAATCCATGGCTTTATTTACAATGTATAGATTGATAAAAGCTTTCCATTGCTTGCAGGCAACAACAGCAGTGATGACGCCAGTTCTGATTACGAGAGCAGCATAATTGGGCCCACTGAGGCCATGTTCAAGCGCTACAAGTCGCAGCAATCGTTTGACGCGGCCGCAGCAGCCGAGTCCGCTTCCTCCCCGCCCCTCACTGCCGGCAACTCGAGCGTCTCCAATGGCGGCACCACAGTGCGCTCCCTGGTTTCGCCCGCCTCCTCCAGCGCCTCGTCCCTGAAGTCGGTCAAGGGTGCGGTGAAGCGGCTGCGCTGCAATGACGATGACCAGCAGTCGACGGCCCTCGGGGAATGTGAGTCGCGGGAGGCCAAGAAGTCGACGATCACCTCGACGCCCGTGTCGGCCGTGTCCTCGCCAGCCAAGACCGTGCCGCAGTTGCACAGTTGCGAGAGCATCTCCAATCCGCACTCCCTGCTGGCAGGCCTGCTGCTGGACTCCATGGACAACAACAACGAGCAGCATCGCAATACGGCCCTGCTGCAGCACAGCTCCAAGTCGCTGGACATGTCGGCACCGCCCACCGATGACAACCAGTGCTTCGTGGACGTGCGCCTCATTGACTTTGCCCACACGGCATTTGTGCCGCGCAACGGCAGCATGCTGCCCACTCCGGCGGCTGCTCCGGTGCACCATGGACCCGATGGGGGATTCCTCACGGGCCTGGACAGCCTCAACCGCCTGCTCAACGAGATTCTGGCCGAGGAGCGCATCTAAGGATATACTGACAGCATGGACGGAAGGAAATGAAAATGGGGGGAACTGAGGGGAAGAGACGTTAAAAGTACAATTTAATTTCAGAATACCTAAATTGTTGTAGCAACATGCGTTAAATTATGAAACAAAATCAACTAATCTTTAGAAATTCGAAATGTGATTCAAGCAAACCTATTTAACAACCGGATATAGCCCCTAACTTTTAACTTTTAACCAACGCGTAATATTAAGTGCAGGGCGGAGCGAGTTCCCCCGACTAATCGCAGCATTTGTGGAAAACGAAAAAGAGAATTTAAAATTGATTTGTGAAAAAAAGTCGCTTCCAAAAGTAGATGAAAGTAAATAGTTCTTTAGATTGAATGAGTGTGCATCCTGCTGCATTTCACATCCAGATCGGAGATAAGTTGTTCGGTAAAAGTGCATATAGTTTAACCTTTTGTGAGAGTTCGCGTGTAGCACACCTATATATGTATTGTACGTTCAAGCGAGGACACTCGGATCGTGCGTTTTTATACCTAGCCATTACGATACAATGCAAAGTGACAGACCGTAATGATCAGTATTTCGTTGTATGTATCTATGCTTAAAGTCTTAGCCCGTTTCCTTTTCCAATTGTAGTGACAAAGTTTCGACGAGGAGCCAGAGTTTACTATATATACTATACACTATATAAAATACATGCAAAAACACATTTTTAAGTTAACGATTAAAGAGAGAAACGCTATTAATATATAGATCCTACAAATATTACTATTACTTAATGTGTAACTAGAGAATTAAACGGAAAAAAATGTATGTATATTTTCACTTAAGCACGTTTAAAAATTACAAATGTTCTACAACTTGCAAAAATACCTTTAATGAATAAATATATATATGAAATCTATTCAAGTTTTTTATTTTTTAAAAAGTGCTAAAGGCGCGAAAAGTTCCCCGCACTTGTGGTGTTTTTTAGTCCCTACCTGCGATGTATCGATAAATCAGCTGTTCAAGTCTATCGTCGTTTGTTCATCTCTAAGGCAACTGTGCGTATTTTTATATTTTATTCTGTCTGGTGATATTTGCTTAAATAGGGATATTTAGGTGTGATAAACAAATTGTAATAGCATTTAAACTGGGTGTGCAAACCCATTAAGTTTCCTTTAAATCAAGTAGGCCTCATAGCTTGTCAAACGTAAACATTCTTATGTAATTGTTCAGGGCTAGGTTAAACTTGCGCCTGGAGGATACTGACATTTCTTGAATTCCAGTGCTGCAATGGGCGGACACGGACATCACGGAGAACCCTACACGGTGCCCCACGCATCGGCCTACAAGGTGGAGAATGTGCCTCAGCTGTTGGAGGTGAAGGAGGCGCTGGCCCGGCAGGGATTGAAGGATCCATGGCTAAGGTGAGCTCTTGGAGGGGAACTTGAACTACCCTTTTGATATCACTGATTGGACTCTTACAGGAACGAAGCCTGGCGCTACGAACCCAAGGGCTTCGGCACCCACAGATCCCGTCTGAACACCTTCCTCTTCCGCGGTCTCGGCGTGGGATTCTGTGCCTTCCTGGCCACCGTTGCCGTGGAGTACGGTTTGGGCATTGGCAAGGGCCAGGGTGGTCATGGACATGGTCACGGCGACGAGGAACACGGCGATAAGTCGGGTCACCATTAGCTAAATTGAATATGCCGAATAAACCCTCTGTTCTCTCGCTCCGAATCTGTTTATTCGCAATACATATACGTGTAGGGGTTTTCACTAAAACTAAAGTAATCCTCTGATCAGTTGATGCGCGGCTTTAGCTCGTCGTAGCACGATCGCAGGAAGATCTGGGGCTTCTTGGCCGGGTTGAAGTACTCGTGGCCCTTGGACCAGTCGTAGCCCACGGCGTAGGCAAAGATCTGCCCGTTGGCATTGAATCCGCACTTGGTGATGGACTGGTCCATGGCCTCGCTGGATTTGAGCTTGGTGCGGGCGTCCTTGTCCCAGAAACTGAAGGTGCCATCGGAGCCGACGGTGACCAGGGTGCCGTGCATCGGATGGAATGCTATGTCGTTGACGGCATAAATGTCCTGGAAGCCCGAGGTGCCCGTGGAGCGGTGGCACTTGAAGGTGAAGTTGTCTTTGGGACTCGCCGGATTAACGTACTGTATGGCCACGCGGCCCTCAATGCTGCCCAAAGCGTAGCCGGTGGGTTCCTTCTTCTTGTCCTTGAAGATGGAAATGGCACGGTGCTGGTACTTCAGCGGACTCTCCTGCCGCTTGTACTCCGTGGGACTGTTCTGCAGCGAGTATATGATGAGCCCGCGATTGGCAGTGCCCACCACGGCCATGGGGTAGTCCACATCGGCGCAGTAGCAGCGCTCGGGCAGGTTGATGGCCATCATGGGATTGGGCGAACGCGTGTCCCAGAACTAAAGGAGATTAAAACATGAACGAGGTGGTCATCTCACAAGACTTGGTTACCTTTAGGGTTTTGTCCCAGGAGCCGGTCATCAAGCACGTGTATGTGGGACCCTTGACCATGTGGCACGTCTTCACAGGACCATCGTGGGCCGCAACCTGCATCACCTGGTCGGAGGCCAGATCCCAGAGCTTCACCTGCTTGTCGCAGGAGGCCACGAACACCTTGCTGCCGTCGTCCGACCAGCAAACGTCCAGTACCGGTCCGCCCATGGTCTTGATCGACTTGGGCACGGTGACCCCGTTCTGCTCCACTTCCCAGCAGCGGACGCTGCTGTCCCAGCTTCCGGCTATCAGGAAGTTCTTCTGCACCGTGCTCGGGCTGAACTCCAGCGCCGACACGGAGTCGTCCGGCGGCGAGGCCACCTCGAAGTCGTTCATCCGGTTTGTCGATTGTGTGGCGCCAAACATTATCTTCTGCTTCAGATGTCGCAAAATGTTTGTGTTTATATTTTTTTGCCGACGAAGAGCGCTACGGAAAGTGTGACCAGGCAATCCAAAGTGACCGCGTTGTGCGTTCCGATTGATCTAGTATTTTCCTATTTAATGATATATCGATATTCCTCAGGAGAGCAGTATTTGCGGGTCAAAAGGCGGGAAATCAAATTGCTTTCCAATTGAAAATTTTAAAATTATTTAAAACTCATACTCCCTTTTTAAGTCAACTTTTTTAGCTCGAAGTTTGTTTAAGCCTTGCATACTTTGTTGTTAATATAAATAGACACTTCTTAAGGAATACGGATTATGAAATACAGATTAACCTTAGAGAATCACTTTGGTGTTCTTTTTCTTTTTCTTTTTTTCTCTTATGTTGGTTCGGATTGACTTATTTAGTAATTTCTTCATCGGAATGAATTAAAATAAACTTTACAAACCAAATGTTGCTCTATCCCATATTGTTAAAAATTTTCGAAAACATAAATAAGTTTGCCTATTAAAAAAGTTTAAAATGTACATGCCCTTAAACATTATTTTAAACCTGCTAATGTGTAAAATTAAAAATTTTATTTTTTTTTGTTTAGGTATAAAAACATATATGATTAGGAATATACTTTTAAAAGCTTTATAATTATATCACTAAATGCTTTCCGAATTTGTATTAGTAAGGATTTTACAAAAGTTATGTTTTTAATCAGGAAGTCAAAACCAAATTACATCCTTTATTTAGCCAGAGATAAAAAAAGGTCATGCACCCTTACGTAGCATCTCACGACATTCTTTTTAATAACCGGTAAGAGCGAGTGCAAAGGTCGCCTACGTATTTTGGTAATAAATTGTTGCTTTGTGTGCCACTGTCAACTCGAAAAAAACCCCCCGAGAATTGATATTCGGCGCTCGAAAGTCCGTCACCAAGGGCACCTATAGAAAATCGAAATGTATTTAATTAACTATATCAATATATAGTGCCACATGTGTCTGATGTTTTTTCTTTCGGCGACAATGAAAATAGGTCAATGCTTCAAGCTCCCAGTGCATCAGCATCGCGATGATTAAGAGCCGATTCTTAGAAGTTGTGAATGGTACGACTACGACCCGACCGCAAAACATGGAGTGCTGCACGGTTTATGCTGAAGAAAAAATGTTCGGAATTTACTCATTAACTGGGTAGTTCACCAAGCTCCAGTGAAAATGTGAAGTACGCTCAGAGCAGGGGGTTTTTTGTCCTTAGTCCCAGAGCAACAATTAGAAAGCAAAACACTTCAAATGATTTGAGTTCATTGTTATTTTAAGTATATATTTTCATTTTCTTTTTTAATCATATCATTCATTCTCGGAATGAATTTGAAGCTTTGTTCACTGTGCGTTGTATTACGGCTAAGCATACACATACATATATACATATATACATATATAGTCCCTAATCAGTGTGTGATTTTTATGATTATTAATGGATATTCTAGACCAACGACGTGGCGTTTAATACTTTACAATGCTGAATGGTTATGGTGTAAATATTTGTAGCAGTCGGAAGTCTCAGATAAGACTAAATGACATTAGGAACCGTTGAGTTCGGCGGCAAGAGTTGCAGTACATTAATCTTAATCTTTGGCCTAAGATGACTAGAGAGAGCGCTCCTTGTTCAAATGCTCACGTTTATGGCATTATTGATCACAATATTCCCAGCTCCATGTCGGATTGTGAAACTGCTGTCGATCTCGACGCCACCGGATTGACTTGGGATGGAATCCGTTGACTTGGTGCTTTTAGATCGAGTGCTGGGCTTTTTCTTGGACCCACCGTTAAGATCCAGTGACTTGACCACCTTGAGCAAGCCATTGCAGCCCGTGTAGTCCACCACTTGCTGCGTGGAATTGCTGCCCAGGTAGATCTTTCCATCATTGCCCGTGTACTTGAGCGATCCACTATTGGTTTGGATCTTCAGTCTGGTGGCATTGCCAATTACTTGCAGGCTGCCCGAGTTATTGACAATCCGTATCCGGTTGCCATTGCCGATGATCCGCAGATCCCGCGAGTTGTTCTCGATGCGGTACTCCTTGCAGTTGCCCACCAGATCCTTGCTGGCGAATATGGTCGTTTCCGGGGGCGTGGCACTCCTCTTGGTCTTGTTGGGGGGTTTACCCTGCTCTTTGTGGCATGTGGAGCACTCGTCATCGTCATACGAATCGCTCGCCGAATCGGTCTCAATCACCCGAACGCCCATTTTCGTGTGAATTACCTCAGAGTTTGTTTCTTTCCGCTGCTAATCACTAGCAAAAATCACCGCCACTCAGTTTCGGTGGGCAGTTAGCTCATTCTCCAAGACTTTCGCTGTCTCCGGGGGAACACTCCGAATGGTGAGCAATGTCTAAGGTCAAATATATCCAATATCCAATTGTGTGAGTTTATGACTGCCAACGATTAAGTTGATAATGCTGGGTTGATCGTCTGCTTCCGTCAGGGGAATTCCCTCCGATTTCGTTGCTTTTGTTATGAGTTAACGATTTTGGGACCGCTTTCGCTGTGTTCTCTGAACGCTGGCACTTTGGCTATTGAACGATAATGCCGCTCGTCAGCCGCTTTTATACCAGGCGGAGAGTCTAGCAGCGGGGCTTTTTTATTTCGCCCGAGGGCCGCCACGAAAATCACCTTGTAGGCATGAGAGTACCGAATTTTGAGGCACTCTGCCACCTGGGAAGACCTTTGATAAGGTCGCCAAATTTATTCGGCATGATTAATATGCACCTGTTGGGGCCCTGACTATCTGTTTCAGTTAGTAAGGCTTATTCATAGGTCCCTTAGCTCTCAGACAGAACGCCCATTTCCTACAATGAAAAGAATTGATAAGAGTGTACTAACGGGCATTAACAATAAGAGCGATTTAAAAATGTTTTTAATGTATAAAATCATTTAATTTTCTTTCGGTTAAATAATATAATATAATATGAATAAATACTCTGGCTAAATTGGCCTTTTTCAGTACAAATTAAATTCAAGATATGAAATATAGAAATTAGTATTTAAAAAAAATCATTTTAACATAAACATTATATTATTAAGAACGAATTTTACACTGAACAGTTTTCCTTGCCACCATAATTTCAAATAATAATAATTTAAAAATGTTTATAAATAATTGCTATGTATTTTAAACTTAAATAAAAAAATAAAAATAAAATAAAATTAAAGTAAAATAAAACAATATATAATTTGTTGATGTTTCATTTTTTTAAATTAAAAACTTTTCCCTGTGTAGACAGTTATCAGTCCATGAAGTACAACCAAATTTTAATGGGGTTTTTTGCCAACACCCCTTATCATTGTTAAGTCCCTTGATATTGACTGGCTGATTTCGTTATGGGGTTGTAAAATGTGGTGCCAAAACGCCACATAATTAGAATACCTCAAAAACAAAGGGGTAATAACCCTCCTTATGTGCACCACCCGTAGATAAGACGATAAAGATTTCCGCTCTAGAAAACTCCCATCAACATACTTGATACTTGATAAATATTTACCCGGTAACCAAGTGGGATATTTCAAGTCAGTCGTTTCCTAGTCGAGTCCCGAGTTTGTTGACAAACAAAAAAACTCGCACCTGCAATTTGCACATCTGATTTTATTAGCAATTGATTTACTACACATATGTACGCTGCGAAAGCTTCCGATTTCGAATCGTCTTTCGCTTGATCTTTGTATTATATACATATGATCGTTTCAAGTTCAACTTGGGTTCCGTTTTCAGTCGATTGGCGAGCTCGGTGGCGATCAGAACCTGGAAATACGAAACATATGTATCTCGATCGCCATTTGGATAAACACGCTTTAATGTAAACAGTTGGGCCAATGTTTGTTCGTGCGGGGAAAGCACCGGGTATATACATACCATAGCAACAAATGAAAGAGGTGCACTGAAGTCAATTGCGTAAACTGTTTTTCTTTTTTTTGAATTTGATTTTCAAGGTACATTTTTGTTGACTAATCAATTATCTCTTTCGGAACATTATAAAATGATTTATTTGCTAGATCGCAATTTTAGGGCAGTAAACGGGGACTTTTCTGCAGTTATCTCAATCGTACTTGACACATACCAAAATCGAAATAAAAAAAACATCTATATATAAAGCCTTATTAAGTACAAATCGGTAGTAGTTATATCAGCTAAATCGCGTATAGTACCAGATATGCCTCGGCGCAATTACAGCACACACTTCACACATACAATCGCAATGGAGAAATTGGGCGAGCGCTAAAAAACCCCCTCAGCCCATCATCATCATCATCACCGTTTGCACCTGCATCTACTAGCTATTAGCTACTATCTAGCACGCGTCCAATACCGGTACTAATGCCCCTTCGACGAAAAAATCACCGATGCCAAGTCGTTTTATCTGTTATTTAGATCACCATGAAAGGTTCAAGTTCTGAAACGAAATAAATGAACTTTTATTATACCTGTTCTGACAGACACTTGATAATGTTTGAACGGTTTTAGGGGGCTTTTGGCTAAGATAAACGTATAACGACCTCTTACCAGGCGGGCAAGATCCCAGAATACATCGTGAGAGAGTTATTTTGAACCTATCAAAAGATTGCAGTCTTATTTATGGCTACATAAACAAACAACAATTTAATCATCCGTTATAATGAAATAGGACAAAATTAGATTTTTCGTTATCTCTTATTTTCAGGTAGAAATGTTTTTAAGTTTTATATTGGTTTTATTTACTACTTGTAATATATTAAATAAAAATTATATTTTAGTCATGTTAAAAATATAAATATATCTTTTGTTTCCAAAATAAGCAAAAATAATGTGTTTTAGATTCGTATCCGTTCCCGAGGTTTTTCCTTTATTTAAAACAAGAAAGAAAGCAAACTTCGGCAAGCCGAAGTTCATATACCCTTGCAGCTATTGCAAGAATTAAACATTTTTGAAAACATTAAAATTATGATTTACTTTCGTATATGTTTAAAAACATTGAAGCTATGATGATTTGCAGCTCAATTATTTGATAGTTATTTTATATATTTTTATTATTTCTGAGGGAGCTATATGATATAGACGTCCGATTTTGATAAAATTTAAACCATAATTCTGAAATATTTAACCATTGCTATATGTCGAAGAACTACACAAAAAATTAAAAAACAGAAAAGTTATAATTTTTTTCATTTATTTTTCCGATTGTTCCTATGAAAGCTATATGATATAGTCGTCCGACTTTGATGAAATTTAAACCGTAAATCGGAAATATTTAACCATTACTAAATGTCGAAGAACTAAACAAAAAAATAAAAAACAGAAAAGTTATAATTTTTTTTCATTTATTTTTCCAATTGTTCCTATGGGAGCTATATTATATAGTCGTCCGACTTTGATGAAATTTAAACTGTAAATCGGAAATATGTAACTATTACTAAATGTCGAAGAACTAAACAAAAAATTGAAAAACAGCAAAGTTATAATTTTTTTCATTTATTTTTCCGATTGTTCCTATGGGAGCTATATGCTATAGTCGTCCGATTTTGATGAAATTTAAACCGTAAATCGGAAATGTTTAACCATTACTAAATGTCGAAGAACTAAACAAAAAATTAAAAAACAGCAAAGTTATAATTTTTTTCATTTATTTTTCCAATTGTTCCTATGGGAGCTATATGCTATAGTCGTCCGATCCGGCTCGTTCCGACTTATATACTACCTGCAATAGAAAGACAACTTTTGGGAAAGTTTCATGCAGATAGCTTTAAAACTGAGAGACTAGTTTGCATATAAACGGACGGACAGACGGACAGACGGACAGACTGACAGACGGACAGACGGACGGACAGACGGACAGACGGACATGGCTAGATCGACTCGCCTAGTGATGCTGATCAAGAATATATATACTTTATAGGGTCGGAGATGTCTCCTTCACTGCGTTGCAAACTTCTGACTGAAATTATAATACCCTCTGCAAGGGTATAAATATATCCAACAAAAAAAAAAATTGACTTCAGTAAAACAAACATTTTTTTTATGTCAATTACTAGATGTTTTTAAATTTCCGTCTTCAGAACAAGAATTGATATGAATATGATTAACAATATATAAAAAGTAGTAATATCTAGAAAGAACAATATTATTTGCGTAAATAAGATGCAAAAACATCTGTGGCTGTAAAAAGCTCAATCTAACTATCTGCTAAATAGTATTCACAAGATACATGTGTGAAATACGTTCCTTCCTAATATTTAAATTAGTTGTGAGCTTTTAAAACATATGTTATTTACCATTCACAACAGGATGTAAACAAAAACTACCATCACTAATATTGTGCTTTTAAAGAAAGCTTTCCTTTAGAAATAAAATAACAGCATGCAATAAACAATAACATTAATAAAATAACTTGAAAACAAAATCAGTCCTTATTAACATTGAACCACGTAAGTTGAATTACATTATTTGTAAACGTTTACAAAAAATAATATTTTTCAGAATAAACAATGACTTCAACATCAAACGTTTTAGCTATTGGAACGGAGGAGACCATCGACAACTTCGACATACCATCCGAATTTGAGAAACGAATATATATCCTAGAGACCCGAAAAGCTAATTTTCAAAAATATTTTGATGAACACTTACAGAAAATTTTACTAAACGGAGGTAAACCACTGAAAAGTGAACCTGATGATACTGCTGTCAAAAGATTTTCAGCATGTGAAATTAAGAAAAATGGTTACAAATATGAGTTTGGATCGAAATTTAAAGAGAACGGATGGTTAATAGATGGACCTTCATTTGAGCCCAAAGGCGTACTTAGACGAGTCAAGAATCGAATAAGCAAGGACCATTGGATTAATGATAATGTGGCTAAATATAGCAAGGATTCCAGAGGCTTTATACAAACAACAGTTAGTAATGCATTGGCTGAGGAACAAATTGAAATATACCAATATTTATGTTATCTTAAAGATAGTTTCAGCAATAAGTAAAAGGTTCATGCAATATTCTAAAATAAAATAATTATGTCCACCCTATTTTGAAAAATGGAAATAACCATTCACAGGTGGTTGTAAACAATAGAAGTACCATCACTAATGTGAGCTTTCATTGTTGGGGTTAATTTCATTAGTAAACAAATAAAAGAACTGCGCCCATACGAAAATCATTACATTTTATAGGGAGACCCAACTGGTAAGCTGAACAAGAACCATTCTTAAATGTTCTACTTACTAAGCTTTTTTTATAATACAGAACATGACGTCGAAATCGAATGTTTTAACCATTGGAAATGACAGTTGCGAATATTCAGACAAATTGCCAAAAACAAATAACCCTAAAGCGTATTTAGAATTTGACTTTGAGAAACGAATGCAGAAGTTACTTCTCGGAGGTGATAAACCACGAAAATTGGATGAAACAGCAGTGGAAAGATTTGCAGCCACTGAAATAATGAAAAATGGCAAACTGTATTCCGAATTCGGACCTGATAATTTTGAAAATAACACAGTAATAAGTGCTGTTGTGTTTGATCCCAAAGGCATGCTATTGCGTGTACAAAATCAAATCAATAAAGAGCACTGGGTTAAAGAAAATGTAATACAGTATCAAAAAAGCTCTATGATAGACGTAAGGCAAATTGTGTCCGATGTCTCACAAGAGGAAGATATTGAAATCTATCAATATTTGCGATACCTCAACCAAAATTTCTGTAAAAAGTGATTTAGATTTTTTAAAATAAAATTCTTTTTTTTAAGATTATTTCTGTTTTATTTAAAGCTTGTAATTTTTATGCAATAAGCAGTTACAAAGTCCCAATACATTTTGGTAAGTATTTTATATTAGAGCCTCTATCTTTGTTTATTAACCAATTTCATGTAATATATGTAAACAAAAAAGTCCATCGCTAATCTTAAGCTTTTTGATTTAAACTTTCAGTTGTGAAATCGATTAATTCTTCTTAAGTTACAAATTAAAATTTTTTTACAATTTAGTGGCTCAGCAGATATTCATAAGAACAGTGGCTTAAAATGGCAAATAAAACACACACAAATAAAAGTGCTAGAAATGATTCTTTGGAGTTGTCCACTAAAAGCAAGCCAAGTCGAGGAACTCCAAGGATAAAGAATAAAATAAACGCGAATAATTTTCCAGAAATTCTGAGTAAAACAATGCTTAAAAGCAATATTGTTCCTGCTCCACCGAAGGACGATATTTGGATTTACACACAACTTCTATGTTTTCTGTACCTTGAAAAACCCGCCACTCGGAAGAGAGTTTATCACATGTTCCTGTCGACCACAAAGGATTTGGAAAATGACTGCGATAGAGTGAAAAAATTATACAAAAATAGAAAGGACATCAAAATAGTAAATCAATTAACCGAATACGTTCTTTGTGCGAAAACCGCCTATCTTAGAGTTCGGAAAATGTTTTCCAATGCTACTTGGAACAAGCAGGGCAATGTTTTCGAAACTGAGATGATTCCGGGCACTGATATCTGGGAGATTTCAAAAAAGCTGTTTGCATTTCACTCCAAAGATGATGAAAAACTCTTTAATTACATAAAGTTTCTGAGCGTTACGAAGAGTTAAACATAACTTTACATTACCGTATTAATTGTAAAATTATACAAATGTACATTTCATAAAATAAAGTAAACCATTTTGTAATATCAAGTTACCGATCTTCTATAAGGTTCACCCCAAATCGAAACAGGTGTTATTGTAAGTAACCATTCACATACAGAGGTCAACAATTAGAGATGACTAATTTTGAGCTTTTGATTTTTGCTGCATGTGAAATTATTTCTAATAAATAAAACGCTGGGTACATTTACTATTTAGTATTCTCGTAGACATTTGAAAAGAAAGAACAATCTTTATAAAGGAAAGATTTCCCAAAATGGAAATTAAAGCTCAACACAATAATAGTTCCCCGAGTAGTAATTTAAAACCATGTGAAGCCATCAGTGATTAATATTTCAGGAAAGGTGGAACCAAAACGAAACACTCCCCGCAATAAGTGTAAAAAGCAACCAGCTAAAGTTCCCCCTTCAACTGCCACTGTTCCTGAGCCTCCAAAAATCAACCCGAAATCATTTCCAGTGATCATAGGAAGGGTCCTGCTAAAAACCAATGACCCACCTGCAACTGTGCCGAAAATAAATTTAGCTGACTTTGAGCAGAATCTTTGCTTATTATCCCTAGAAAAGTCAGCTTCCAGAAAACGAGTTTACCACATGTTCATATCCAATGAAAAGGAAATGGAAAATGACTGGCTAAAAGTGCGAAAAATGTACGAGAATAGAAAAGACATCAAGATTGTGGACCAGATGATATTATACACCCTCTGTGCGCGATCATTGTATCACAGAGTCCAAAATAAATTAACCGATGTCAAGTGGAACAAGCAGCGCAATATTTTCGAGACTGAAAAGATCGGAGAAAAGGATATTTGGGAACTTTCTCAAAAATTATATGAGTTAGAAAACGAGGAAAGGGCAAAGCTATTCAATTATGCAAAGTTTCTTAGCTCCACGAATAGCTGAATAGCAATACTCCTTTTAGTTTTAAATACTATATCTTTAAAAAATAAGAAAAAAAACAGTTTGGTAAAAAAACTTTTTATAAAATTAAATTTTTTCACTTTATGTATTTTTAGAATCATTTAATTAATATAAACTTGTACCAATAAAATATTTGATAAATTTAAAAAATAAATGAATAGAATAAAATTTAATTTCTTTTCAATTTTATTTTGTAAAGGTTCACCCTAATCGGCAACCATATGATTGTCATTCCCCTGAAAATATAAACAAACACCACCACTAATTCTGTGCTTTCCCTGTGAACTTTTTGTTGTGAAATAATCTACAGCTATTTCGATAGGCCACCAAACAATCCATCCATTTAAGCGTTTGCTTGCGGTCATCTCATTTCAGTATTAAAGAAGGCATTAACAAATATACATACATTAACAAAAAAATTCAAATCATGGAAGCTGAAGCTCAAGAAAATAGTAATACTTCTTTGCCAGTTAGGAGTTTGAAAACTGAGTCATCAGCAGAATTACCAGTTCTTAATATATCCGGATGGGTAAAGCCAGATAGGAATACTCCCCGTATCAGGGGTAAAAAAAAGAAAACTCCTACGATTCCAGTGGAGCCCAAAGTCAATCCGACTACATTTCCAGTGATCCTAAGCAGGATTCTACTTAAAAGCAATGTTCCACCTGCAGCTGATCCGAAAATAAATCTAGCAGATTTCGCGCAGTACCTTTGTTTTCTCTGCTTGGAAAAACCGGACACTCGAAAGCGAGTGTATCACATGTTCATAACAACGGAAAAGGATATCGGAAAGGACTACGATCATACGAGGAGACTTTACGAGAATCGAAAGGAGTACAAGTATGTGAACAACATTAGCGTTCAAACAGTCTGTGCGTGTTCACTGTACCGCCGAGTTCAGAAAAAGTTCACCGATGTGAAGTGGAACAAGCTGGGAAATGTTTTTGAGACTGACATGATCGGACATAGAGATGTCTGGGGCATTTCTGACCGAGTTTATGCGCTTCGCATCGAGGAACATGAAAGGCTGTTCAATTACATCAAGTTCATAAACTCATCATGAGCTAAATACAAACGTTTGATTTTAATATTCCATAAGTGTAAATTGTGATATTGTTTTCTTTTGTATTAAATCGCTTCTATGCACATACTTGAAGTATAGTGGTTTCTTTGATTAGAGTAACTTTCTGTAGCTTATCTTAAATTGGGTGAACCCATAGTGAGTCAACAACTGCTCCAATATGTAGCCATTGGTGGCGAAGAACACGGCACCCTGCAGTCCAATCCAGTAAAAGGTGTTCCACGTCCGGAACTCCAGCAAATAGGCGGGCAGTAGCCACAGCGCCTGGGCGAGCAGCCAGAGGAACAGCAGATTGAAGCACCTTCGCCACGACAGCAGCTTAAAGTTGTTCAAACAGAGCGGAAGGAGGGCCAAGTACCAGATAAAGTACTGCGATGTTACCACCGAGTTATACGTGACGATGACGAAGGCCACCGCAAAGATGCAGAATGGTAGAGTCTGCCGGAACTGACCAAAGCTCAGACTCAAGTAGAGGATAAGCAGGAACTGTGGAGCCAGCACCAGGAGCTTCAGGATCACCGACGGTTCCGGCACGCTCGTTGCACTGCCCAGGTATTGCAGAAGGAACTGCAGCGAAAAGTTGTGACGCGGGTCCTTGCGCACGAAGTGGTACAGGTAGGCCTCGTATATGTACTCCCAGCCGTACATGGAGTAGAAGGTCCAGGTGAAGGCCACCAGGCTGACAAGCGTTCCGATCACCAGGCACCATTGTTGCCTGTTGGGCCGCAGGATTTGACACAGGAAATCGAGGGGAGTTTGTGTGAGGCGCGTCGATAGCGACAGATAGTAAGCCAAACTAAACAGCAGCGGATACAGTCGTAGGTGGATAACCAGCCCGTGAGCTAAGCCTGCGCCAAATATAAGCCAGTGGCTCCGGACCTCGTTGTGCTCCGACTTCAACAGCAAATAGATGGTGAGGATCACAAAGAAGCTCGAGAAGCAGTCGCCACTGCCGCGTGTTGATATGACAGCCGTCAGCGGATTGTAGAGCCAGAAGCAAGCGGATGCGCGGGCCAAGTTCTCCGGATGACTTCTGGCGTCCAGGGCATCCAACGATTGGTTCGACTCTCGTGGCCTATTGAACTTGCTGAGCAGGTGCTGCACGGTCTTCTGGTACTGACTCTTGATCTCCATGTGCACCAGGCGGTAAATGAGCGTGGCGATGAGCAGATCAAAGGTGGCATACAAAAGCTTTCCCCACGCCGGATGCAGCAGAATGTTGAGGGTCTGCAGGTAGGCCATAATCGGGCTGTATCGGTAAGTGTGCCTGGCGAAGGGTGAGCCGCCCGCCAGCACCTGTCGTGCTCCATCCGTGACCACCTTGTAGTCTATATCTGTGTAGGGCACGGCGGACTGACTGTCGTGTATTTGTCCGTAGCATATTAAGGCGAGCCGCAGCAAGGCCGAGATTAGCATGTGGGTACGAATACTGGTCTGAAGGAGGCGGCCACCCAGTCGCTGCCATCCCACAGTCGTAACCTTTGATTGCGACATTTTGGTTTATTGTTCTCGATTGTCTACAGCTTGGTCTTCATCTCCAAGGCGCTCTTGCGGATGCAGTTGAGGAACTCCTTGAACTCGGCGTCGCAGATCTTGTGCTGCACGTTCAGATCCCGCGACACGCACACCGCGTACGCCGTGGCCTTGTCCGCGCACTTGGTCAGCAGGACCGGATAGTTGCGGAGTCGTTGGTTGGCCTTGCGCACCGATTCCATGCCTCAGTCTCAGTTTCAGCCTCAGCGCTTGTGCGGCGGCACCTTGACCTCCAGCGGCGGCAGGGGATCGGCGATGAAGCAATCGTACAGTGGCTTCGAGAAGAAGATCAGCAGCGAACCGGTGAGAAAGGAGATCTGGAAGAGACGTGGATTCCGTTGGATCCACGAGCGCTTGGGCAGCACAGCGGTTCGCCTGCGCTGGGTCGCCTGTTGCTGCTCCTTTTTGTCTAGCAAGTCTTGGATATCCTTTGGTGGTTTATACTGCGGTATGGTCATTATTTGTTTCTGTAAATTATGGCGATATTGGAGTATCAGAGGGCACATAAATCTTGGCATGACTCACGACTTGCCGGTTGGGTTCTTGCCCCTGGATGCTTCTGGCAGGTAGACCTTTTCCAGATCGATTCCACTGCAGCAAAGCGATTCTTTATGCCACTTCAGACAACACTGGCGCATATCCTCCAGGACATTTAGGCATTTATCCTCCTGGTAGTTATTATCTGTGAAGAGTGCCGCCAGCTTACATAACAATCGAAAAAGGAGTCAATGAAGGCGCTTACCCTTTAGACAGGCTTGTATGCGGCAGGCGTTAGCTTTGCAAGGATCCTTGCGCGTGTTAGACATGTAATCCTGCGCTTATTTCCAGAGATATTAAATCCCGATTGCAATAAGTGAAAAATACAGGCTGCTGAGTGTGCTGCTTCTTCTTTGCGGCTCTAGGCATTCACAGTGCACTGGAATAAGGTTGCCAGATCGCTCCACGACAAGCAGTGTAAGCAGTGCAGGCAGTATACTTAATAAAGAAAGGCAAAATAGAAAACCATTGAGTAAATAATAATAAAGAGTATAATCATTGTTTTTATTTCTGAGAAATTTTTGTTGTTTTTAAAAATATATATGTTCTATTACCAGTAGGTTCCGGGTGAATGCCAGCCTGCTGCGGGAGCAACTGCCATTCAACCAGCAACGCCGACATTCGGGCACCAAGGAACTGTTCTTGTGTGAAAAACACACACACATTTGTTTTATTTCGCTAGGACTCGACAAACGATTACTTCACAAATCCCAAAATGCCGTCGAAAAAGAAAAAATACAACGCACGCTTCCCGGCGGTAAGTGGAATACGCGGTGGGCGGTTGGGAAATCGCCGCCGCTATTTGGCGGCCCTGAACGCCGAAGATGGGTTATCAGTTTTCGTGCATATGTACATATGTACATAAATACATACATACACGCCTCGCATAATCAGAGGCTCGAAAAACAGATCGAACCGGGTGCGATTGGACTATAATAACAATAATATATAACTATGGACTATGTGTTTACTCCATACAGGGCCGCATCAAGAAGATAATGCAGAGCGACGAGGAGATCGGGAAGGTGGCCCAGGCGGTGCCCGTTATCATCTCGCGCACGCTGGAGCTCTTCGTGGAATCGCTGCTGACCAAGACGCTGCGCATCACCAATGCGCGCAACGCCAAGACGCTGTCGCCGTCGCACATGAGGCAGTGCATCGTGTCCGAGAAACGGTTCGACTTCCTCAAGGAGCTGGTGCGCAACATACCCGACATCAGCGTCGCCGAGGAGGCCGCCTACAACGAGGACGATGTGCTGCGCAGCTCACCGGAGGATCAGTACCCGGACTCTGACACGCCATATGATCTTAGCCTGCCATCGACGTCCATGCGCTCGCAGGCGAATGGTACCGCCGCCTACATGCGCTCCATGAGTCTGAATAACGGAGCAGGAGCTGGCGGTGGCGGTTGCGGTGGCGGAGGAGGAGCCACCAAGCGGCAGCTCCAGACACAGCACAGCACCACCTATCCAAATCCCACCACCATCCTGCCCGCCAAGTTGGCCCGTTCCGAGTCCACGCCGGCCTACACGCCCCGCGGCAGGCCGCCCAATCACCTCAAGAAGCAGTCGGTGCAGCTCGACACTGCCATACCTGCGCCGATCTGCAGCTACGAACTCAACAAGCCCATCGTCAAGATCGACTACAGCCACGTGCAGATGCAGATGCAGACGCCCGCGGCGAATCTGTGCACCCCGGATGCCTCCGATTCCGGCTCAGGATCGGGAGCCGGCTCTGGGGCCTTCAACTTCGACATCGCTGCGCCGGTGATCAACATCGATTTGACGAATATCGTGGCCGCCGGAGCGGCGGGCAGCAGAATGCCCACCTCGATTGGATTCGCACCGGCCACGCCGGCGGATAACAACAACGTTAACCAAATGGCTGGAAAGAGCAGCGCTCCCATCATTCCAAAGGCCACCGCGGCATCAGCGACCCCCACTGAAACCGTTTTCGAATTAGACGAAGACTATGACAATATTTGATTAGGATCTATGTGAATGCGCTTTTAAATTATTGATACATTAATATGTACTCTAGGTTCTAAGTAATCACGATAACATTTTTTGCAAAATAAAGACCATGCTGGATTTTAAGCTGACATAAAGTTTTGCTACAAATTATTTAATTACAATTAGTTTTGCCTACCATCAAAGTAGTTACTCCCAAAATAATCCTGAAATTTTAGAATAGATTCATGAGTTAAATTAAATGGCGCCGAAAATGTTTGCATTCATGGACGCTGTAGAGAAGCCGCCTATTGGCAACCGAAAGTCGTACATGTCCATCCCAGAAGCCAAGTTAATAGGCGATGTTGAGGCGTATGCCACCCAGAAGGATGAGGCCTTAAAGCTGCAACGCTTCTACTACTTGCAATACAACGAAATGGCTGCCAAGTTGGAAACTGATCTCACAGCAGTGTTAACGCGCTTAGAAGCTGCCAAAAACAACTTGGAACTGGTTAAGAAATTCAGGAATAATCCGGGTGAGGAGTTTCAGAGCCTTATACAAATATCCGCGGGAGTATTCAGATGGGTGAAAGTAATGCCAGTGGAACAGGTGACCCTTAAAGTGGGTAATGCCTTGCAAATGGCATTCGATTTGCCGGAGGCGGAGGAATTCATCAAAAAGGACATCACAAGCCTGGTGAAGCAGCGTCTGCAACACGAGCATGACATTGACTTTCTGCAGGATCAGGTGAACACCATCGAGATGAACTTAGCTGTTTTACTTAAGCATGGACTCGATAACAAGAACACCAATATTAATGGGTAGTTTTAAAAATATGTGGACATTTATTCTGTGGTTTGTATTTATTAAGTAAAATTCATTGAAAAAACGGAGTTTTGTTTTTAGAGTTTAAATTGCGCTTTGTGTTGATATATTCACGATTACAAAAATAATTAACTTTTTTAAGTTAACAGTGACTTTGAATTTTTGAGCTTTTAATTGTAAGCTACCATTTAAATGTATTGTTTTACTGTAGTATAGAAATAATTTTTTCGCACATGTACTTCAGATATTTTTAAGCACTCTCTTTTTATATCTTTTGGTTACCCTTATAATGGTTAGTACAGCAACAATAATTTATTTGTCAAGGACGCGGGACAATCTCACAAAACTGGGAAATTAACCATTGTATGTGAAATGACTTATTTCCTTATTTAGCGAGATTATCCCTCGTCTTTGGAGTTTCCCCTTAATACATACATTATTATTACTCTATTAGTAGCTGTAGCCCCTCAAAGAGGTCAGCAAATCGGGAGCACAGGATCGTAGCTGGTGGCCTACTAAAAGTGACCTTTATTTGCCGCGCCCCTGGGTATTTATAAGCGTATACACATCATAATAATTATTACTTAATTTCGCCAGGGAGTACCGCTTAGTCATTGTGTAATCCTCGGTCACAGCCAATTACAATTGAATGCCTTTCAATCCTCCAGCACTCGTACATTTCGCACACGCAATCTGCCAGCCACAATTGATATTAATTTGTGCCCGATGTGGGTCAAACTTAGATGTATTTCAGTCCTTCCCCCCAAAATATATGGACAATATATATATATAGGACAAGCTGACTGACAAAAATAAGAGTCAGATATCGCGTGGGAAAACCTTATTGCAGGCCCCAATTACTCGGCGCTCCCAGTGAGCAAAGGTGCAGTTTGAAATTATATGAATTTTCCCCCCTTTTGGGATCGGCATAATTATGATTGGCCAAACCCTGATTGGATTGCTCAAAGAGGATTAGTGTAAAGCATCTTTTAAACTTTAGATGGGGGGGGGAGGGAATTCAGGGAGATGCAGGGAGTTCTCCCTGTTCCGTGTCCACCTGTCTTGAGTCATGGGCTAAAAAGTTGGAAACAATAAAAACAACTTGCGGCGCGCCGCCAGTGCCAAGTTTTCATGTCCAAGGCGTATTTATGTCAACCGGAAGTAGGTTTACTGACCCACGTATACCCGTACGGGTAGGCCGTCCAGCCAACCACTTCGGCTGGCCGACTCCGACTTCGATTCCGACTTCTTCGGTGGCTTCTTCGGACCCGAGTGGTCAGTTACGCGGCTGAGGAAGTGGAGTTCCACAGCGCAGGACGGTGTATAAGACGGTATTTGAACACGGCGGATTAGTTTTTCAACGGACGGCGAGTGCAGTGCATCGGATCGATGCAAATGCGCGTTCAGTTTTTTTGGGTATTCCGATTTTGTTTGAAAGTGTCTAGCAATAACTCTACAAGTAACAAGCGGTTTCAAGCAAATTAAATATAAAACTGTATAAACGTGCGGCTAAAAACCAATCGAAATCGTCGGTTAATTCAAACTACATAGTTGAAATTGTGAAACTCCTTTGTGAATTGAAAAAAAAAAAACCCTTAAACAATTAACTCATAGATGTCTCTAGGAATTCCCCGAGTTGTGACTCCGTGACTCCACTTTTTGCTGGACTCTTGGGCTTAAGTTGGCTGGCAAAGGGGCTGCATTGGGGGCTAACACGACATTAGCCAAGGATTTCTTCGGCACTGCCACTTAAAAATCCCCCCCGATTCGAGGGTTCATGTGGGTTTGTCGGGCTGTGTGTGCACACATACCTGTCTTTAAGCGTTATTGCTGCCATTGCCGTTGTTGTCTTGATGTTGCAACAGTGCCCGGGTGGCCAAATGCCCGGGTGGCCCGATGGCCCGGGTGGCCAAGCAGTAGCTCCGGGCCAAGTGTTGTTGACTCCTAGCCGCTGCACAAGGCAACGCGCAATTTGTTGCGGTTTTGACCCTATTCCAAAGCCAAGGAAAAGTGCAGTGTACCCGGCCAGGGCTTAGACCCAACTGAATACTGTGATAAGTAGTAGTGGTAGTATTCTGACTTCATTTCCATATCTTCAGAGCCGTTTTTTGACCAATTGATCTAATGTTTTATGATCTCTATAAAAAATAAAAAATGTTGACTTTTGGCTTTAATTTCGATTAAATTCCTTTCTTTCCTTCAAAAACGTATAAATAAAAATATATATTTTTTAAATTAAATATTTGTACTAGAAATGATCTATTTAAAATAATATCAATTATGAAAAATTACAGTGTAAACGTACATAAGAAAAAAGTTATTTGGTTAAATTACTTTTTCTTTACAGAAAAATGCAAACTTGGTTTAAAAAAGACTAACAATATTTTGAACTTAATATTCATAAATTAACAAGATTATTTTGTCCTAAAACCTAATTTTATTCGAAAGTGAAAAGGATAATCATACTCGTAAACTATAATTTTTGTTGACTGTCTGAACTGAATGAAAACAATTTCTTAATATATCTCTTTGCTGTTAGGATCAAGTCTTTCAAGAAAATATATCTTTTAGTGTTTAGTGGTCTTGCCTTCATTGTCAAACCCTAAAATTGAAAGCTATACTGCATTACAATAAAAGTGAAAAGTGAAATGATAGTTATAATCGTAATAAATACTTTACTGATAAAGAAAATATCTCTTTGGTGTTCAGAAAAGATATTTCAAGAAAATGTATCTTTTAGCGTTTAATGGTTTTGCCTTCCTTGTCGAACACGATAAAAATGAAAGCCAAAGCTATACTGTACCACATTAAAAGTGAATGGCTGTGAGTGCATCAAAGTGAAACGAGCCAAAGTGCGTGATTGATTCACCTGTGCGCATTTGGTAGATCACTGCCATCCGAGTATCGCAGTAAATATGAGAAATATGAAAACTTAACGAGGAGGGGAGAGGAGGAGGAGTACGGTGTGCGAGTGCTCGAACATCGCGTGCCACTGAAGCACCAACAGGTGTCACACACAGCCTGCCAGGTGAAATAATCAAAAGTTGTCTAAGAGGCAGAAAAAGAAGCACACGCCGAGCAGATGAACAAAACATGCAAACAACTAATGCAGCCGCCTCGCAGAACGGCGAAAAGCGGAAAACTTGCGGCGAATTGGCAACCGGTCGCTTTTCTTTTCGGCTTTTCAGTTCGCCAGTCTCAATATCTCAGCGGCTCTGCGTGTGCAAACTGTTGTTGTTGTTGTTAGCGTGTGTGTGTGTGAGGGGGGGCACTGTGTGCTGTTTTGGATTTGAAGTGTAGGCAATATTTCTCTTGAAGGCCTCCTTTGCTCACTTACCGCTGGGCGGCCATCAGTTTAAGTTAGGCAGCGGCCACGTTCCGTCGCGTTGCCATTATTTGTTGCGGCTTTTCTGCAAATACATTCTATTTCGGAATTAGTGTAAACTTTAAGCACAAATGGGCGCAAACGGAAAAGTAAATTGCATAATGCGCTCCCAGAGCCAAACTAAAAAATTTTCAGTGTGGACGTGGCAGTAATTAAGAGACGTTATTAAAGTGTGACCGTGTCCCAATGAGATGCATGAAAACTGCGTGTAATGTGGCAAACGGTTTAAAAAAAAAACCATTTCGCAAACTGTTGGGGACCCAAACCCGGGAGCCGGCCAACTCCGCACACGCGTCATGGCCACCTACAAGAAAAGTAAAACAAAAAAAAAAATGCCGGCCAAGTCACTTCCTGTGGCCCAAAGTGTGTCACCGAAATTCGAGCGGCGTCGGGCCATAAAATGTAGGTTAAATATTAGGCGGAGGAAAATCAATGCGAACAAAGGCCATTCATTCACACCTTTCGCCTCCTCCTCCGGGGCTACGTCATTCCGCAAAAATATCTGCGTACTCAGCCGGAGCTCTGCCAATTAAACCATCGCTTATTTCGGGTGATAGTCTCAGCCCGCTGGCTTCCACATCCCGGGTAGTTGGACTTCAAGTGCAGTCACTAATGCGGCACTCTGCAACATGCAATCCCGGCGCAGTCAAGCCAAATCCAAGCAATCCGAAGCAGCAGGGGAGCCTCCTCCCAGCTGTTGAGCCCTCATCAAGTTATGCTCTCGTTAGCGCCAAGACAAGCGTTTGGGAGCTGCAGTTGGACTCCGCTCCGATTCGGGCTGGGAGCCACACAGCAGGTGCATTCCATTCCATTCCATGCCGTTGCCGTTGCCGTTGCCGATTTCAATGGTTGAAGGCGGGTTTATCAGCGCCGCACACGCAGCTATTTATAGGAGTGAAATGGCATTAGAAAATATAGCCATAGCAATAATAATTACTCTA